CATCCGTTTTTTAATTATTTTCCTGTTTTCTGTATTTTTCTATCTTTATTCGTTTAACAATTTTTTTCCAATTAACGCAAATATTTACATGATTTATTTACAACAATTAATTTTTACAACAATTTCACGCGACCCGCCCTTTACGCTAGCTGTAGTAATAGACTGGTACCCGTCCCTTCTCACACCACCCGCTCGATATAGGGCGGGGGTGTGAGAAGGGACGGGTACCAGTCTAGCCGTAGTAAACGTAGTTTGAGTCATGGCTGCGACTGTGAGAAGAGATAGTAGAAGGTAAAGGAATGTTAAATCAACAACACAATCGCAGGAGCAAGTAAATTATATTACAACGTGTTTAAGACAAGAGAAACAGGATCACAGTGACGAGTTTTATTCGGCTATATATGATTCATCTCATTTATCAATGAACGACGGAAACATACGAGCTTTGTCGAAGTAATTAGCAGTCACTAAACGCGGGATAGGCGTGTTACTGTGTGATATGGCGCTAGGATAATACCTAGAAGTACTCTATTTTTATCGCTTTATATCTCAGCATAGGAACATTGTAGAGACAAGCGGTTGATCTTATATTGGCTAGCTATGACTCCTGCATAATATTCCGGTAGAGAAGTATTAAAATAAGGTCGGTCAACTTTATTAATTTTGCTGAAACGACACCATGGTTTTCCTATTTCAGCGTTGTACGCTCTGGGGTTAATGGGCTCTTGATGTGAACGATGCTTGGTTGGCAGTTACAATTGGCCATTTAGCAGTTTGTGGACAACTATTACACGATATTAGACACCAATGTAGACATGTAAATAGTTGCTATTTATGTCGTTTAAGTGTAAATAGGGTTTAAGAAAAAGTACTAGGTACAGTGCAAAGATACAAGTTTATAAATGTCGTAGTTTGTAATTAGCACCCAAATCCAATAAGAATCCAGAGGGAGCCCTATAGTATATATATACCCACATACATAATACATACATACGTACGCATACACACGCATACAGTCAGTCGCTCATACACAGATATGCATACAGTTGCATGCCTTGCGGACGCACACATGCACATAAGGATTTAGATGTCTTTGTGTCTATCCTTGGTAGTAGCTCTGGAGTGCTGGGTTTTGACATGTAGATGTTATGTTAACAAACCGATTTGGAGCTCTGTTGCATGTGAGCTGACAATCTTCCAATTTGGAATGATCATCGGAATGGGAATTTTGCAAGAAAACCGGCAAGGTGCTGCATGTGGCCGACCCTAGGCAGGGTTTATGATTACTGATATAAATATATATATATATATATATATATATATATATATCAAGAGTCTATAATAGAAAAAAATTTCTATTATGGACTCTTGATATATATGTATATATATATATATGCTATAGCTGTAACCACTTACTCTACATGCACTTGCTGCATCGGTGTGTTTTAACACGAGGACCAGTGCACCCTTTACATGGTAGCGAGTTTCTTCTTAGCACTGGTTTCTCAAACATTGAAAGCGCGGATGCCGTATGAAATAGTGACGGCTCGCGCCCGACGGTATGATCGGCAGTATGTAAACCACTCTGTAGTGTAATCATACTTGTGATTAATACTCGAGGTACGTTATCGCACTTGTGTCTGCCGGCTTTGGAATGAAATAACTGCTGCTGTATTGATCTGTCTATACTACTAAAATCTGCTGTTGGTTTGGTTTGTATACACGTACGTCGCTGTAGAGCCTCAGTGTGTCCAACAAACACGCGAGCTTACACGCAGCACGCACGCGCGCGTACACACACATGCGCGCGTATACAACAACACGCATGTGTGAATGGTTGGCCATCGTACTCAGAAATAATAATTTTTACTGTGGTAAAAATAATTTAACCACGGTTGAATTGTAACTCTTTTACCCAATTAGAGGCATTGATACACGTAATTTAAGTATGATGGCCAATCATATGCGTGTACACATGATTGCAATGTGGTGAGGTGGACCAGTGGTAAGCGGCAGTGTTGCGTAGTGAACTTTTCGTTGCATCATACTTCAGGAATTTCACATTTCCACTTTTCCCTCCCCAGCGCAAAGCATTACGGGTAATAAGTACCAGAGGTTGTTACATAGTGCCTACTTGAAGTGAGTGAAAGGGCATACATGCAACAGGGGTAATGCAAACATTATGTGGGGTTCAGGAGAATTTTAATTACCCATCTCTAAATCGTCCCACCCAAGCAAAACTTTCTGCGACAAAATGAGAAAAATTGCTTTAAGCACTTCTGCATTATAGTTATACTGAACTGAATGTTTTTGATGCATTTAATATCGCTATCCCAGTGGAAGTCAGCGAAATTGCACTAGAGCGAAGTATTTCTTTTGCCCAGTCACGTATTGATATATGTAGCCACGCGATCACTCTTATCAGCTTCAGAGAGCATATATTAAAAGCAAAACATTAAACTGAATCTTCACAGCATCAGCATCAAAACTCAATTTATTTTGGCTGAATTGAATTTAACCTCTTTTTAATTTAAATCTACTTTAAATAACGAATTTTTACAAACAATAGCAGCCGAGCTAGATTCTTAGATTTGGCGAAGTGTGATAGAAGGGAAGATAAACGTTAGAAAGTTGCACTGCGGCCACTAAATCCACGCGGGTGGATATACAATACTACAGTTCACACCCACATGTCAGGACCACATGGCAGCCCACCTAGTACGCCCTCTGTGGGCAGTTAATGGACACTGCGCACGGTAGTAATGCATGGGCATGGGAACTAATAATTACTTCCTACGGGGATGTGACATGGCGAGCGGCAACATTGGGTTTTTGTGCCTTGTTAACCCATGTGTTGCTGAGGACAGTGCGGAGGAGGAGGTGCCCACTTGACGCGGCCCTCCCCAACGACACTTGCTTGTGCTTTCATATGCATGCCAGAGTTTCGCTTTAGGACTTGAATTCCATGCGTGTGCACACAGTAATCAAAAAGTGGAGTTGTAATGAACTAATACTCGTGGAGTTGTTGTGATATGGACTAAAACCTGCATGGGTAACTAACCAACACGGACATGATCACACCTTGCATCCTCACAACTCTTGTATGTCCTTGTTGCATGTCAGAGTCAGAATTACGTAGTAAGAGTGATACCTGCCCGTACAGGGCGTACATGCATGCTCTATGGAGTTAGAATAAGTGTCGAGTCTCTGAGCTCGTGCAGTCAGATATCGTATTTTATAAGTTATTTAACCTTGTGGTATGGGTGATTAGATAACGTGATATAGAGGGTCTGCAATGATGTAGCAGACCATACCTTGTAAAATATGTCGTAACTGTGATATAGCTAACAAAATAGCTTGGTATCAGGGGGTGAAATTGGTAGATCTGTCACTATTCACCCCCTGTTCATTAAACCACAATAAAGGTTACCACATAGGAAGAGACTGATATTAATCACAATGATTTAATCGCACACTTAAATTATCTGGTATAGATAGCAATGTTTTTTAATGTGCTTATCGAACAATAAATATATACCATCGATAGGTGTTGTCATTTCAAATAGATGAAGTTATGTGATTAGATATCACAACGCGCTAGTGTGAAGAGATATAAGTTGTATAGAAATATTTGAATCGAGTGACTTCAGGGCTGTATAATGATATAGTTATTAGTTAGCGAGTAATAGAGTTTCGAGTGTCTGACCTAAAAAGGACCAATAATTGGTCGGATAATCAATAATGTTGGATAATGTGAAACAGGTGGAGTGAAACAAATCGCCCATTTTATAGCATTAACTGTAGTGTACGTATGCGATCTGGTTTAACACTGATCATTCTACATAAGGTATTAATTTCCTAACTAATATAATAATAATCCTCAAACAATAAAATTATATGAATAAATAAAACAATCAAAGTACATAGAGTACAATCACCCAAATCACTAGCACAGACGAGCGAATGAAACTACATCGATGGCGTATGTGACAAACCACTGATCTGCGTACGATAACATATAGTTATTAGGATATGTTTTCGTTAATACAACATGCTTAAATATACACCTGAGTGTGACACACAAAGAGACAGCACAACACGATGACAGTACACGTTTGCACGCTTGAAATATTGAGCGTCTCATAACCGAAGTTCATATTTAATCGAGACTACCGTATAATAAAACCCCTATATAAACTAGGGCAGTCTGGCTTGAGGGTCATTACATTTTGAATGTCACATGTCCTCCATATATTATTATTGTGTATTATATGTATTGTACTAGGCTTTTATCTTTGTTATACATGTAGTTGAGAGCTGCCACATATATATGTATGAGGTATTAGGCAGTGGATGGGTGGTTTTCAGTGCTCTAATTTCTTTTTGGTCTTAAGCTGGGTTTACACTATAAACTTTTTGTTGTAAACCCAGCTTTAGTCTCACTCATGAATTATACTTATACGCTCTTATACGCTTCTTTATATGCTCTTGATATTATGTATCTCTATTATTCACTCCTGATGTATAGGAGTATACTATTAGCACCGTGAATATCTATATTATTTGGCTTACCTAGAAACTCACCACTTCACACAAAATACCAGTACTGATTATTTCGAGCAAGAGCGCACATGCGGCCTTGTCGCTTGGGTACAGTCATTGCTAATGTCGCTGGAAACTGTGTGTGTGTGTGTGCCTCATAGCTGACTAATGTCCTTGCCTCTGGCCACCAGTGACACCGGTAGCATGCCTATGTGCCATCGCCCTCATTGCTCAGTACTGCGACTGTGATAAGTGTCTGCGGCCGGGTCATTGAGGTCACCCATCGTCAACGTGTCAATTTGTCAAGTCCACGGGATTCGGGGGGGGGGGGGGCGAGTGAGGCGGGAGGTACTGGCTCGTTGCGCCGGCACCCACAGAGGACGCCCTGCAGACATCCAGATCGTTGTTGCCGCCATCGTCACAAGGTCGCCGGTAATCGACTGTCATTTGTAACAGGCTCTACGCTTGGTTGTGCTTGTGATACAGCCGCCATGCGCTCTTTTACGCAGCTATCCAGTAGACCGGGTGAACACGGGTAAGCTAGGCACCCTGTGCCTTTCATCAGCAGGACGGTGTTTTTAATTCTGTGCGTATGTGGTGTGCCTGTGCAAGATATCTGGACACTCAATCGGGTTTTGTGTATCCTACTGCGGTAGTGTGCAAGATCGTGTTACGTACCAGGCACACGACTTGGGTGGCGTGGCCATTTGTTGGACCGCCGTTTGCTGTACGAATCAAGCGGTGATGAACAATATTTGCCACGTGCTCATCAGACAACACTACGACGGCCTAACGCACCCAATGACTAGTTGCGTCATGTTTAATTGGTATTCTTTCGCTTAAAGAAAGCCAGTATAGACACATGATACCCTTCGAAGATCTACACTGACATCTCTACAGTATATGTAAGATATTTGTGGCACGTCACCTATTTGGTGCTGTTGTGTAGCTCGGACGTTGTATCATCAAACTAATGCTAGTGAGGAAAGATTTCCCACAATCAGTCTGTCACTAGTCTGTCAATTATAAATTAGGTACTGAGATTTTAATTGGCAATGCAAGTTGAGGGAACAGAAGAGTGTCAGCGGATACCTTTACCTACGAGGCATCCAGACCTGACACCCCCTAGTTTGGCAGATGTACTTGTCGTCCCATCTCAGAATTTTCACAAGAAGTTTTACGCTGGTATTACGATGGACGGCGTGCAGCAGCATGGCTTCCACAGTGCAATGGGAGAGGAAGCAAGACTGACGATCCCTGCAGCTCAAATAACGAAACAACGAATTAAATACAAACAGGTTGGTATATACATAGAGGTATTAATTGTCACCAAGGCACACCATTTGCTTGTGAAAGTATGGAGTAAATCATTGACATGAACCTTTGATGGTAAATAAGACGTAACCAACGTACACAACGATGTTGTGGTATGGTTATATGTAAGCATTTGTGTGTTGAAAGCATTTGTGACTTACGTGTAGAGAACCGAAAACGCACTAGCGCAGCTGCTACTTATGTAGTACATAATTTAGGTAATTGTAGTGGAACGCACACCAACAGGTAAAAATATGGGCCGCGCTTCTAACAATGAGAACGTTGGCGTAATTAGTAGTGGAACTTCCACGTCTTTGTACTGGGAAACTAGTTTTTGTCCTCGTGCAAACTGGCCAAATCGGTGTTGAATATGTGTGATATCAATAGTGTGAACAAAACCGTGTATTATTTACGACGGTAATTTAAACGGGAATACATTCATGGTTTAGTAGTTATTCACATGTGTTCCCGTTTATTGTTGTATTGTCAAAAACGCACCTTAAACTTGGTGGCACTTGTTAATTTGCGCATTATACACCCCGTATCCCTACCAATGTTTAAACGTACAGCAGCAATTGTACGGTTTATGTTTTATTGGAATGAAATTTACAACATTCTTATTCCAAATACGGATTAAGCAGAGAACTGTGGGATTGTAGTCTGTCGTCTGCTTTCTAGGCAGCCATTTTATGTTTTCAAATATTGTTTGTTGTTGGTTATTGCACTGTTGTTGATTTTATTGACTATAATAAACTGAAATGTTTACAAATGATTTTTCATCCGTCAATTGGAATACAGATGATGACGACTGGGAGTATTTGAATAATGAAATTTGGGTGAGTAAGCTCAAGCGAGTCCAACAGTGTCAGTGGCAGTGCATCCTCGTTTGTTAAATAACTGATATTTATTCTGCTAATGTGTGATGATGTCAAGTGAAAATTGAGTGCTCAATTTAGTTTCCTTGCGTCAATGCTATACGATGTATTTTAGTGCGCTAATCGTATTGTTGTTACGGCTGAAATGAAAATGCGAGTTAGCCGGCAGGGCATAATTAAATCCAAGCCATCATTGTTCAGCACCGATGCAGGGCGCATTTAGTTCTTGGTGTCTAGTTCTTTTGCTGTAAACCCCCTTCCTCCATAATATATGCGCATCCTTTACACTACACCGTACCTGACTACATAGTAGTATATGCTGCGTACCACATCGCTGGTATGAATTGCCAATCGGGACACATTTTTTTTATCTAGCAGCAGCATATGGCTTAAGCTTGCCGTTCGCTTGGTAGTTCACCCCTCGCTAAAATGGATTGCTCCATGAAACTAAATATGTTTGGATGCTGTGAGTGCAGCCTGATGGCACTACGTCACGGCAGGCTACTAGTCTCTGATTGGCCAGCATCCCCGCATCCAGTCAGGAGTATTGCAGAAACTTGTACCACGCAGAAAGAAACCTAGGCACCTAAGGATGTGCATGTAGCCATTTTGGTGTCTCTTTGTCTACCCAGTTAGCAAGCTATCATCGATTTTGTGGTAGTCAGACCAAAGAGTCATAAGTCTTCAATTCGCGCAGACAAGATGTTAACTATGCCATTGGTAAGAAGCTCGTCCTTATCTCACAGCCTCTGTTATAGCCTCTATATGGCATTATTCTGTTTGTCTGCGATTCGTTGCGGGGGTAATGGGGCTGTGTAGGCGTTCATGTAGGGAAGGAAGCCGTGTCAGTCTTTGGAAGTTGCTGTGTATTCTACACTGAACATCTACTTGGATCAGTGGGCAGAAGAGCAGGTTTTCATTTGCAGATTCCTTTGGATAGTCTTAATTGTAGCTGTTATTATTTTGACTGGGTAAGTTAGGTTTTAAATTTAATGCATTTTGACTATTTTAAAATTTAACGTAATTACAAGTTTACTACGTACAATCATAATTACTTATAAATTAATGTCTGGAATGTTTCCCAGATGTTTGCCTGATTTGCATAACCAGCATCGTGTATCATAATTGGTACTTAGGGGACCTTTTGTTCGAACAATTCGAACAGATGGTTTTTTACAAACATAGGTATAGTAAGGAACATGGTTTATGATGCTATTCATTTGGCTACGTGTAATTCTTTTAATTTTTTGGAGTACATAAGTACCTCAAGATATCGTAAAATGTGCGTGGGGTTCTCTGTACTATTAGTATTACTTTGAGTGTACGGATACTGTGTTCATTGATCGTATGGTCCCTTCACTCATAGCTGCAGGAAGTTATTTTTTCTGTTTCTCTATTTGGCCTTGATGTTGACCAGTGGAGACCTACATTAACTGCACTTGATGTGCCTGAATGCACTGACACAGTCACCTGTTAAATCGTTAACCGACCACAGTTAAATCGGTCGTTATGAGAAAAGCTTTAGGGTTAGATTTACACATAGGTTAATAAGGGCAGCACTGTAATGGCTGCTATTAGTACGTCCTATAAATCAGTATATCCTGTAATTCGAATACAGTAAACAGTATGCAAGTGGGCTAATGTGATGTATCCTTTGACCTGTACTGTTACAGTATATATTTGTTATTTACCTGGTTTGCAGAGAAGCAGGTGAGGTAAATGGGCTAAGTATAGAATTGTGAAGTTGTAGGAAGTGTAATGTCAAATGTGGTGATTCATGTTGGTGTCAAATTCAGTTCTCTAGTCCCGTATGGCTCCCATCTACTTCTAAACCTGAATCTCCCTGAGTATTGATCGCTCAGGGTATTATTAGTGGTTGTATTCATTAGGGAATACAACTGTTTCATGTTCCCGGTGAGGCCCGTGGTAAAGGCGCGTGATGTGCGCGTACAGTAGTTGGCAGCGAAGCGCGCTTAGCATTGTGTGCGAAGCCACCATGTGTATGTACGCACTGACGGACAGAAATCCACTGATATATCGACCGGTCGGCTGTCTGTGAAGCTTTGCGTAACGGCCATCAGCGCCTGGCTCAAGCAGGATAATTTCTTCAGAATTCACTACATGAGGAAACGAATGGGATGACGCTTGTCTTTTTTGCGATTGTCCCCGGAACACAATATTGTAGTCGCCATCGTGAGTGTTGGAGTCGCTTCGCTGTCCTTTCCACTCGAATAGGCGCATTGAAAACCCAGACTATATAGCGTTTGGACTAGCTTCCGTACTATTTGAGGGTGGAAAGCGGCTGCGCGCGCCTGTCTCTCTCTCTCTCTCTCTCTCTCTCTCTCTCTCTCTCTCTCTCTCTCTCTCTCTCTCTCTGTGCGTGTGTGTGTGTGCGTGCGTGCGTGCGCGTGCGCGCGCGTGTGTGTGAGTGTGTGCGCGCGCGCGTTTACGCGTTCGCGTGTGGGTATGCTTGTATGCGTCCGTGATGGGTTGCACATTTTGGGCGCCACCTCGACAGTTTGCAAGCAACACGTATCGTGGAGGGTGCATACAGCCCGCCTAATTGTGTGTATTCCTACGTGCTACGTTCTGCTGCCAACTATTTTCCTTTCCAGCGGTAGGGGTACCAACACGTGTGGTGTTCTCCGGTTTCCCTCTACGCCAGCCTTTGTCTAAACAGGCATGGTGCAATGCGCGTAGTTTTGGGAAGAGCTAATTAATGCTTTGTTGAATAACTTGACCGGAGTGTTCTCCTAGTTTCTAAGCATCTTTATTAATTGTCCAGGCCTCTTTTTGCTTGAATACATCCGTTTAGTGATAGGGAAAATTCTTAGTCGATCTTAATGATTACTTACGTAATTGTCTTTTGTCCGCTGAATTTTATAAGTGCACGCGCGATTCCTGGCATTAATTTTTGATGTTTCTGAAGGTCCGTGCCTAAAATGTAGCGTATGTACACTGTAACCTGTTTATTCTTGAACGCTCGCGTCGGCTACGTGATGTACACGTCGTGAGCAGAGATCGGGAATTAATTTTATTAGCTTGTACGTTTGCACCAAGTTGCTCTCAGTCGTCGGTCTTACTTGAAAAGGGCAAGTGAAGAAGCACATTACATGCATACCTCCTGCTGTTACTGATCCAGCTGCGAAGTGAAATCGAAAACGCCAGCAAAGATCCGAGTCGGCTACGATAAGTCCACCGATCAAAAGTAACGCAAGACACGCGTGCTGTATGAGTGAGCAAGCGAGCGTTGAATCGCTCGCACACAACGCCAGCGTGTTCACACCTCGTGATGTAATAGAATTGTGATGTAACTGTCTCCCAAATATTACGCGTGGTAAGATGGAAAAAAGAGGCTAAGCTTGGTCACTTGCTTTTCGAGATCCTAATTGCTCGGCAAAGCGAGTCCAAAACGGTGTTGATATATTATTTCCTCTCGTGTGTGTTAAGGCGAGCTGTGATCACAGATTCTAAAAAAGAAACCCCTTGAACAAGCATTTCTTTTACTCTGAATATCGGCGCCCATCAACGAACGCCCATCAATCTAATTCCGGGGGGGGGGGGAGTACATGATAAATTCCGACTGCCGTTGTGCCGAGAAACTTGCTCCCGTTGTGTTCCGATTGAAGTTTCTCCTGAATCAACTCAGGCATGAGGTGTGGGTGAGGGGCATTCGGGTTTTAGGACCTCTGAGCTTGCAGTAGCTCAAATGATCTAATGCGATTATGCTAGTGCCCTCCGTCTGTCCGTTGGGCGTCAACAATAGCGGTATAAATCTAAACGGCTTCACGTACGGTGTTGATATTCTGGTCGTATAGAGGAATGATCTTCAACGACATTGGGAAGTCTAATTTGGTGTCAATGTTTAAAGGTCAAGAGGTGTAATGGAAGAGAAAGTATATACCCCCTTAACTTAGGGTATAGGACCAGTATTAAGAATATGCAGAAATGTGGAACAAATATAACGGATAGTTATTTTGTCAGATATGGCCTGATTGATCGAGTGAAATGCAAAGTGAAGTTTATATTATTGCATGACCTATAGGGCACTGCCATATTTGATCTAGCTCACACTTGCACACCCCATCTCACGCCTGTTTTAATTGTCATAATTGAGTGTACAGTAATATACAACCATGGCTATGTTCAATGTCAGATACAATCCATCGCTTCCTGTATTCCTATACAAACTTGTGTAGAAATGATTGAGGCGTTGATCGATGGAACTTTCAAAAAGCATACGCGTGTTTTGCCCCCCCCCCCACACCAACTGCAAGCAAAGGAACCTATATTAACATTGTGTACAAATTGATACTCTGTCACAACAGCCTGAGCAAACATTCTTCTTCCACTACGACCCTGACAGAATTTAGATAAGCACAGTAATAGTGAGCAACTGGATCTGTAGCAACGCTGACGTGCCCACGTTTACCTTCACGGGACGTTTTAGGCAACGGTCATACCGATTCGTTACCGACCGTCATTCATACTAAATCGGTGCTTCGTCAAAACGTTCGGCAGCAGCAAGGACAACGCTTCCTGGACAAGACTTGCCCGCAAATAATAGGTGGCCCGTTCATGACCACGGCCTGCTGAGTTGGGATGCGGGTATTGATTTATGGGAGCCCTCCATGATGGCAGCAGCATCAGCAGTCAGTTGAGCGAGTGCGCCTCATGCAGCATTGTGCCTTCAGCACTCTGCGCTTGCCCACATGAATGCTGCTTGTTATCGGGTTACAGGCGCAGAAACCAGCGAAAATTTTTTAAAAGGAATTGAATCTGGAAACGCTACTAGCTTTGCATTCTGTTTGCCCTATTTGGCAGCTGGGTGAGCAAATTTGAATTTTATTGTAGTGTTTATGAACACGAGGACGAAGCGGCTTACAAGTAGAATTTGCTACCTATTGTTGCGCAAAGGGAGAGCGTCATTATTAGATGGTGGAAGTGGTTTAATAAGGGGGGTGGTCAAGACTTTCTCATTCATTTAGGGCAGTTCATATATCGTAATAATGGCTCCCTGTGATTGAGCTTTATGTGGTACTAAATCCTCTCTAACGGTAGTCACACTTAACTGTGCAGTTGTATGCTGTATGTGCCTGTTCTTGCAGGTAGAAATCGAGTGATAATTACATCCTATGGGAAATTTTACCGAGCTTTATTTGAATCGAAGAGCGACCCTGGCTCGATGCTGCATGCAGGGCTATGTGCTGTCGAATCGTACTGGTTACAGTAAGACAGTTTCCCTCACCATGCTTTTCGGTCATCCCAGCACCGGGAGGCAACATTTGCCGTATGGTCTAAAATTACCATTACCGTCGTTACCATTTCCATGATCGGCAATATTGGACTGTGACGTTGTTATTCATAATAGATGATAATATACGTGTGTGCGTCAGATGAAATGTACAAGGCATCACTGTAACAGTGTTGACGCGGCAGTGCTGATCTTGCTCAAATTGATCTCAATGGGAAGGCATACTGCAATAGTAAGTTATTGATTGGCAAGTTATTGATCCAAGGAATGTGATTGGTGAATGACCACGTGCGCTAACTAGGATTTCTTGAATTGACCAAACCGGCCTCCCCTGGTCGTAATTGGCTCTTATTCTCGGCTCGTTGATGCAGTAATTGGATCGATCGCAACCACTTTTGGCTTATTGCAGCCGAATGGGGGAAACAGAGATGTATTATTGAGCAGTGAATAGTTTACTCCTTGTCGGCACTTAGAGATTGTGTCATCAAAGAAATGACCAAACAGGCTTCATTTAAACTATATCCATTTCTAATATTTTTCATTGCTTATTTATCGCTTTTTGCCAACATCTGCTAGTGAAATTGGATTCGATGTATTGAAAACCATTGTTTAGATTAGAATTTCTGGACAAGTCAAAAAAATACTTATTAATAATACTTAATTTATAAGACAGCAAATTGATTATTCCACTTCAATTAAAGGGGTCTGTAAATTCTAATTTGATTTGAAATGTTAAATTTGTTGTTAAACTTGAATAGACTGAATCTACTGAGATAGTGTGAGATTTCATTACGCATGCTCCTGCATTTAGCCTGTACTATCAATGTTTCAGGGGTTATTTTATTGGGTTTATTGTGTAGAGCCCCTTCTCACACTTGACCCCTGTAATGTCAACTTTATTCTCACAATCACATGCAACTGTACTTCTCTTGGCTCATTTCAGCATATGGTGCAAGCCCAGATGAATCCTGTGTACACACAACACGCCCAAAATGGTGAGGAGGGGGGCGCCACCGTGCTCGCCACTGCCTACCATGGTGCGCAGCCCGGCCAGCCCCCGCTGCACTTGCGCAAGGCTACCGACCCACTAGTCGATGCTACCATCATAGATCACAATGCCACCTCCAGTGTAGAAACACAGACGGTACACAGAGTTTCTACTGGTAATTTGCATGCTTTCCATGCTGGAAACATCGTCATGGTGAGGACCATACTGCACGTTTAGTCTGTGCGCCACGTTGACAGGTCGGCACAATCTCAACAGCCACCCGCCATGTCTTTGGGCCTTCCTCCTCTATCACTACAAGGATATGCATGCTTCTTCCACTCCAACATTGTAGGCATAGGTCCTCTGCATCTCTTCTCCACCAGTTGCCTCTGCCCCCACCAACAATGCCGAGACAGTTCTCTCTCGCTCTCTCTCTCTCTCTCTCTCTCTCTGCCTGTTGCATCAGTCTTGGGCTAGTTCTTCTGCATCCTCTTTGAGCTCCCTCCTGATGCCAACATTGTTGTTGAAGCAATCCTGGAGGTAATCCGGTCATTGTCACAGTGTCCTTCCCCAAACACATGGTTCCACGGTCAGCTGCTAGAATGTGTCGCCCTGCAAAGTTGTGCGCGCGCAGACTATATCTAGATCTTCGTAAACAGATATAAAGAATCTATTAGACTGTAAGTATGACCTGCTGTATGATGTGCTGCTGCTATCAAAGCTTCTATTTCGCGCGCGTGTAGTCTTCTCTCACAGATGCTCGCTTGTTTTTTGGCTCTGTATGCAATGCTGATATTCGCATGCAACTGTACATGTCTACATGACTATAAAGAGGCATGTTCAAGATACTCTTCTGTAAATTTGTTTCAATGTTGATATTCAAAAATAATAAGCTAGTGAGATTAAGAGGTAATCGAGAGGAGTATAACTTGCACAAAACATGAAAGTTGAAATTGTATGTTAAAATTGCTGTGGAAGGTTTTGGGAGTCCAATATACCAATAACAGCTTCATACATGCGTGATCACACACTCATGCATTCACACATTAACATGCACACGTTGACATCTGCAGAGGCATACACGCACACTGCATCCATGCGCACACTCATGTGTGCTTACACATACACCATGTTCTTCTTTGCTAACGTATTTTCCTGAAAATGTGTTACAGCAAACAGACCTGGAAGCAGAAAATGCAGGAAAGAATATAGCTGTGGTGACATCAGCGTCAACCAGTGGGCCACAGCCAAAAACTGAAATGCCAAAGCGACTCCACGTCTCCAATATACCATTCAGGTTCAGAGACAATGATCTCAGAGCCATGTTTGGTGTAAGTATATCACATCGGTCCACATATAACCGCTTGTAATTTTTGGCATAAAACTTGCTGGTTTAGAAGATTTTCCAGTATTCCAATATTTCCAAACCTTTTAAATACTTCCCCTACTGTGAAGTTGCCACATATTACCCCAGTCGACCATTATTCACAAATATTTCTATTCAGTTGTGCAAATTTTATTGTTCCCGTGACTCACATAATGTGTAATGAAATTATTGTTGTAAAAATTGGAATATTGGATTCAAAGTGTAATTATGATCAACATTATTAAAAAACTACTTTCAAAGATCACAATACAGTTTTTTTTTAGAAGTTTGAGTATTCATGGATACAGTAAAAAAATAAGAGAATAAAGATGTCTTCAGGAAACTGCCATATTTTTACAAACTTTCAATACCATTGACGTAGACTAAAGATTTAAAGTTCTCCGAGCTGCTATAGTCTGTAAATCACGAGTAAGTGAAAAAAAAGTGTCAAGTTCTGCGTATAGATGCCTCCGTCAGTGTAGGCAAAAAACAAGCCCATCATTCTATTAGCGATTACGCTGTACATTAGCGACTGAGAAATTCTTGCCGGTATATATAGCATAATAATGGCAACTATAAGAGAATCGGCAATGATGTATTTCATTAATGCTAATGTGGTCTTGGGTTGAACTTCTCAGAACTAAATTTTCAACATGGGTTGGGTGTTGCTGTGGTTCAACCCCAGTGCCTCCCCGCTAACACACTGACTGTGATGCTTGCACACTTACCATCATGTAGGAGCAATTCACGCAGGAAGCATTCAAAGGACATACTAATATCCATTACTATGTCTATTATAATAAGTTAACTCCTGTGCTTACCCATTATGAAAGCCTTTTGTAATGTGTACTTTTGCACCCTTGCAGCAACATGGGAACATACTTGATGTTGAAATCATTTTCAATGAGCGGGGATCTAAGGTATGTTTTTTGGATTGTCAGATGTATTACAATGCTCTCTATTCAGCCTGGTCTAATATTAGAATTGTTAAAGAACATTACAGTTACTTGATACTTTTTCTAATGAATTGGTTGATCGTTATTACAGTTTTGCTGTGAGTGCCAAATCTAATCATGTTCTAAAATGTTGTCCGCATATTATAGTTGGCAGATTAAAACTTTTCTGGACTAGTCGATGAAATTTCTAGTAGTTTATTAATACACTGCAAAAACACTGATTAAATATAATCATCCCAATTGCAAAATTGCGCGCGAATAAGCTTTTACTTGACAGCACCAATTATGAGACACATTTTTAGTCAGTACAATGACTGGATAAAACTTGCCTAACAGTTTTTGGCTAAAGTATTATTGTTCTTAATTTTTATCGGTGTATGCTTGCAACTGCTACGGCTAACATATTGCTTTTTGTCCTGATCTGTGATGATTTCCCATTCCAGTCACTGTTTACAGATTTTGGTGAAAGATGTTCTCAGTCCTTTAACAATTATCGCCAGGTACCCTTCGAATTGGGTGATCGAATTGATTCAAACTGGTGCACTTTTGTGTGAATTGTAAGACACTTCTTCATCCTTGCTTCATTGAAACAGTCAAATTGCTGCTTGGTGCCCATGTGCATGATTTGTACCGATGTTTTTCGTCGCAGCATCGGGACCTATTCGCGTAGAGAAGAGAAAGCGGTGCAAGCTCTAGGACAGATGCCAGAAACACGTCAGACTAACGTTATGTCTCCGTTCCCTTTTCAGAGACGCTATTGTTTACGTAGGTTGTTACTACAAGCTTGCAGCCTGATGCTCTTGTATACTGAACTTGTTTTATACTAGGTAGTCGCTGTGCACTCTACTCATTGTAGTTTACGTTGCCCGGCACACTAACTAACGCTAGTGAGCATTCTGTCAACTGCTGCAATGTGTCAACCTATCTGAAATAACCATGTGTTAACACTTCAAGAAAACACTCCTAAGCACTGAATGACACCTCTATGAGTGAGTGGCTGCTATCAGATCTGGTGAACTCTGCTAGTGCATCGTAAAGGAGTTCGAATGTGTATTTTAGCGACAGTAATCGAATTTCAACGTGTGGGAGCAAAGATCTATGGTTGATGGATTTGTAAGAGTTGGCAGTGTGCGCGTATGGTGTCTGCTTCCTCTCTGCCTGAGTAAACACAGTATTCTGGTGCAGGTGCCTCTTGTACACGTGAACTAATTGACTTGAAGTCTGCGTCGAAATTGGCTCTCGTGATTTAGCCAGAGAAAACACTCCGGAATGCCTTCCAGTAAATATCTATATGTATGTATATATGTATATACATATGTGTATATACATGTATATACTAGTGTGTGTGCGTGCGTGTGTGCACATGCATGCACTGTGTGCGTGTGTGGGCTTGCGTGAGTGCGTGAGTGCGTGCGTGCGTGCGTGCGTGGTGTGTGTGTGTGTGTGTGTGTGTGCGTGTGTGCGTGTGTGTGTCTATGTTTGTGTGTGTGTGCGCGCACGCGCGTACGAATCGAATGCGTGTGTTTATACTTGCATGCGTGTGGGCGAATAGAATTCTGAAGGAGTGATAGTATGGTTATCACCATGTTCAGCTAATAATATTGGCCTAGCCATAAAACTCGCACATTGTCAGCAGCATCAGCTTTCACATACAGCATATGGGTGTACATCTCCGGGGTGTGTGTTTCCATGGAAACGAGATTGCCGTTTGCAGTGTCTCTTTTTTTAAATCTTATTGTAAACTACCTTCACATTTTGAAAACTGGAATAATTTATGAAAAACGTTTACTAAGCAGAGGTGTATCATATAGGGATAGAGGTAATACTAATAGGGTCTCCATTTCATCAAGCTCTCTAGTACAGCCACAACAACTGCAACTTCTTGATGGTTAGTTATATATGTTATTTTCCATACAAACGAGATTTTAGGTTTCTAACACTTGCCATTTCCATCACCATTCCGCACTTCACATGCTGACATAACACATGTAACAGGCAAAGTAAACGTAGCCTGGTCGCCAGATAGGAGCATTTCTTGTGTTCAGTAGCTTCGGTGCCTACCTGCGTGCCCCCAGTATACTTCTGTATACTTCAGTTTACAAGTTTTGCATAGGCCCATCTTACTGCATATATATATATATATATATATATATATATATATATATATATATATATATATATATATATATATATATATATATATATATAGGTTTCTTCATCCAATCATTGTGTCAGACATGGCATTGATTGGGAGTTTTTCATGCGCCTTGCATGAAGTCTGAAGTGAAGCATGGTTTGGCACTACAACAACAAGCCGCCTGTGCCAGCATGCTGTCTCCCTAACCTCTTGGTCACTCACACCCGGGGCCTCAGTGAATTGTGCAGCACAAATTTTCTCCTATCCAGGCTTCGCGACGCTCGGAACTGTCAACATTAAATGGCGCATCAATTATTCATAGCTGTCATGATATTACAGGAATTAAAAAATGTTGGAGCGGGTTAAGTTTTGTGGCCTGCAGTTCTCTACGATCTTAGGGGTGGAGGGGTTTGAAGCAGCTGCTATTATTTGACCTGCTTTAGGATAACGTGTCTAATTTCTTAGTTTCGGAATACCGGATCACTGCAAATGGCACACTTTTTAATCATAGCCCACTGAGCCTCCGGACGTGGCTGCATCCATCTCTCTATACAGCTTATTGTACGTTGTAGATTGCGATCAGTATTCAGCAGTTTGCCTAGAGTGTGTGCTTCACATGTTGTGTCTTTACTGCGGGTGGCAGCTACTGTAAATGCTTCAATACCCCATCTTTCCTGCAGTGCCACATACCATCCGACCGAAGATCCATTAGTTGTTAATTAAGAGAGTAAAATTAGAGTTAAATGTGTATGGACAGTATTGGTTTATGAGTAGATTGCAGTAACGAAGATTGGGTAAGCACAGTACAGTAAGTGGTTTGTGGGAGGGCCAGGCTAATGCAGGAGCATACCGGATGGTATACCAGTTGCCATGATTACAATGTCTTCATTTATACATGTAGAATTATGAATTTGCCCTAATTCGATATAATGTTTGCTACCGGTCCCTGTAAATAGTGTAATTCATGGGTAAAATATTTATAATCCCAGCCATCCCGGATGTACGAAGCAGTCAATGTTTCCATCTCCTGTGTACGCTCTGAAAAATTTGCCATGTATTCATGTAGTTCTTGCCTCTTCAGAGTGCTGCCGCCTATAATTTTGTGCTCTCCGCTGCCGCCCGTGGTGGTCATCTTGAACATTGTTAATTGACAGGGAATGCCACATCTGACTGCAATATAGATTCTTGTACAGTAGATTGGGGCTACTGCATATTTATGTGTATATTGTGTACTTATATCTGTGTGTATACGGTATACATATGATCTGAGCAGTTTCATTTGCAGTGAATGACGGTGCAATCTTGTTTCTTGTTTCACTGCACGGCGTTCATGCATGTTCCTGATTGTTTATTTCGTTGCATGCAGGGATTCGGTTTTGTAACTTTCGCAACTAGTGCGGATGCTGACCGAGCACGCGAGGCATTGAACGGCACGATGGTTGAGGGACGCAAGATAGAGGTGCATGTTATTCTCTCTTATCGTGGTAGCACTCTCATCAGCCACTAATCGCTAAGTATTGTACTCAAACATTTGGTTCCTGAATTGTGACACGGACACTGGACAGCAGATGGGATACTGACCCGATCGTAGTGCTTAGTGTGGAGAATACACTAGATACGGCTATAGATAGTGGCATTGGCATTAATAATGAGGATATTGGTGAAAATGAACAGAGATGAAAAACGAAATGCAGCAAGTAATGTGGCGTATCCTGAGGGAGAAGTTTATCGTTTCCATTGCTAACAGCACAGGCAGTCTTAACCACAATTTGATTGTAATTGACTCCAACGGAGAAAATAATCAGGCAAAGATTACAATTCTTCACTCTATCACGTAATTACATAATGCTGGAGAGTATTTGTGGTTATCGGTATGCCTTGCTGCATTTTACTCCTCTTTTACAAATTGAAACTGACAACTGTGACGTAGCAGGGCTGACTAGGTGATTAGTTTTTACTAGCAGCAGAAACAATTGTGATGAAACAAGAGTGACAGACAAAGATGCAATCATAGACAGACAGACAATGTGTGTGTCATAATTCAGGTGCCACCGTAAAACAAATGCTAAGAAATGTCCATCCTGGGTTGTTATGTCACTGTTCTGTAGTGTGTCTGTCGTTTGAGAAGATCGGTTGTGGAACGTTCACGGCTTTTCCAGTAGCTTCAAAGCTGACCTTGTAACCTTGACCAAAGTTTAAATCGAGGATCACAGTCTATTCCTGTCCCTTTAATATATCGGTGTTGTGCTGATAATCACTGGCTTGGCATCAGTCACTTTCTGCAACGTTTATGTTGGCTAGATGTTTGTGCACATCTAGTTTGAGAATTTCTAACCGTGCTTCATAGAAACGTGCTAACTCTAAACAACTATTTTCCACACAAAGATACCAATCATTGCCATTCATCTGTCACTGTATCTTTTGTCGCCTCAACTGCCGTAGTTATCCCAATTTACCGACTTCATCTAATCCCATTCGCTCACTATTTACACCCCATACATTGGTCTTCATCATCTGCTGTTACACTTCCATAATGTCATCTGCAATTATCTGTGTACATAATGCGTCTCCACAAAACCTTGTATTTCCCTCATCAGATGTCGTCACAAGCATGTTGTTCTCCGCAAGCCCTCATATTTTGCGTCGATCCTGCAAACTGACTTGCAAAATTTCATATCATAACTTCAACATTGTTCCACTCATTACTGTCTAACTAGCTTCTCTGAGTTTCTACTTCTCTCTCTTTGCTTGGGTACAACTCTTCCCTGCTTTGATATTGTTGGAGGCCATTGCATCTTTAGTGGGCATAGGTGCATACGTGCACGTTGTACATGCTGTCCGTATGTATATCTCCGCTCTGCATCATGTCGCCGCCATGTTATTGTTATCCTCAGTGTGTAGTCTGGTTCTCATCATCACCGTCATCATTGTCATCTAGTTTTCACCAGGTGGATCTGCACCCTCGTTTTGTTCCTTGTACTTGCACAGAGTGATGTGCTGTGACCTGCTTGGACTCTCCTGCTTGGACGGGTTGGGCTACTCCTTCTCAGGGGGCGCCAATACTCCTGCCCAACCAAGCGGGGCACATGCTTGGTCCTATCTTGCCTGGTTCGACTGGCTTATGAGACTGCTTGCATCTGTGGAATGAATGGAATGCACCTAGGATTGACATTTCTTGAGCTTTTCGATATCTCCAATGTTAGTTAGCCTACAAACGTGTACCGTAGAGTCTGGAAAATAAGTGATGCCTCTCTTTCTCTGCCCTCTTGCAACTGAGTGTGGCATGTGCAAGCTTTAACCAAACCACCTTGGGTGTAAAGATTTTCCAGCTAAAACGTCATGTGCTTGCTTAGTTTCCAGATTTTATGGTATCTATAAATTAAAGGTGACGGAGCTAACCGTTGCTTCAGAGGATAACGATCAAGGACGGAATTGTTTCATTTCATAGAGAATTGCCGATCAATTGTAATCTATCGGGGCAGAGATTTTGTAGGTATGTACCTGGAAGTAATTTAAATTTAATGGTTCATAGTTGGTAAAAAAAATCTCATTCTTTAGAATCATTGGAGGATGCTGCCTTTTTGGTAAAGTTTAGAAGACAATTAAATCGGTCAGAAAAGTACAAATTAATATCAGTGCAAAATTTGTGTATTCGTTTTTTTAATTTATATGGTTAACATGTTAGTAAAATATCAGGTCAGCTTTTGAAACAGCTTTTTGAGCAATTTCTACCTATAATATCAAAAAAGAATTTGGACAAATTGGACGAATGAGAAAATTTTGCAGCAAATGAATTTCGATTGATAGGCTCTTTGTTCATTGGCTGAAATCAATTGCACGTACATAGCTACATAGTTGTAGTTATTCTTGTACAATTGATAGCAGTGTACATATACTGCTGGAATAACTTATTCATTGAATATTGATCAATAATTTCGACAACAATTTTACAACAATTTTTAAAATATCAATGAAAAGGCATTTTTCGACTATCACTGCCAAATTGTCAACAACATCTGCCAATTGTGTTTTTGTAAGACATTTAATTGGCTGTTCAGGTGAACAATGCCACAGCCCGGAGTCAGACCAAAAAGAATCCACAAGCAATAGCAAATGGTGAGTCCCAATCGGCTCCTAGCTTTGTTGAGTTACAATTTTGTGTTTATCTATTTTGTTTAATTTAATGAGTGTGTGCAAGTATAAAAAATCAAAAATGTCTGTACCTGTCACCATACCATCAAGCAATGATTCGAGTATTTTAATGTTTTATGATGTCTCATGATTTTTTTAATGATGGGGAAGTTATTGCTTATTTGAATGATTTGGATTTTAAAATTATGCTTGTATTATTGTTAGATGTTTTATTGTATTAAAATTGATCTAAAGCTAAATTAAATTTCATCTTAGGCTATAATTACAATATTATTATTCTTGTCTAGAATAACGTCTGTATAATTATTAAGTGTAATGAGTGTGCTATTGTATTAGCTGCAGTCTTAAAGGGGGCGGCATTAACACGGAATCGGGTGGCTGCGGCAGCAGCAGCAGCAGCGGCAGCAAGAGGTGCTTACACTGCAGCCGCACTTAGGGGGCCAACGCCATTAACGGCTGCGGGTGCTGGTGCCCTACAGGGATATGTACCGTGAGTTCCCACCTACTTTTATTCTTAGCAAGATGATTTGTATTTTCATTCTTTACTAGTAGATAAATTTGTTACTTCTTTGCTGCCAAAAACCACTAGTGAAATTACACTATCAATTCAATACTGAAGGATATTTGCAATAATATCAGGAGTCTATCAAAAGGAGTAAGGCACGCTAAAACCGGCAAAATTCAACATTTAGTAGCCTTAGTCTACCTATGATTTATTGTGTTTACCTCGATAAACTTGAGCTCAAGTATTGCCTTAATCATTAAACTTTATCCGTGTCTAATCGTTGGTCTCATAAAAATGGAGGAGACAGGAGATATCGGTTCAAACGTACAATGTGGTTTTATCAATTTAGCATCGCTTTGTGATGATCAGTGAACCGAAACATAAGGGCAATGCTTTTGAAGGCCCTCTATCGTTTAGAAATGCAAACATAGCAAAGAACTAGCCGAGGTTTTGCTAGGGATTTCGGAAAGTTAAACACGACGTGGTGTTATTGATGCTATTTACATTAGAAATAAAAAAAATTCACATGTTTAGTATTTTATCCACATTTTATTTGTTCTTACAATATTGTCATACATGTAAATTACTGTCATTCGACATGGCTATAATAACAACAAGGCGTGTTTAACTTCCGAAATCCCTGCAAAACCTCGTAGTTCTTTGCTATGTTTGCATTGCTAACGTAGAGGGCTTTCAAAGCATTTGCCCTTATGTTTCGTTCACTGATCATCACAAAGCGATGTAAATTGGATAAAACCACATTGTACGTTTGAACGATATCTCCGGATTTGTCATTTTTATGAGACAACGATTAGACACGGATAAAGTTTAATGATTAAGGCAATACTTGAGCTCAAGTTTTATCGAGGGTAAACACAATAAATCATAGGTAGACAAGGCTACTAAATGTTGAATTTTGCCGGTTTTAGCGTGCCTTACTCCTTTTGATAGACTCCTGATAATATACATTGTGGCTTTTACATTATTATATTATATGTTAGACATATACACCCTCTGAAGTGAGTGTGTGGTCTCAGAATGTATGTCTGAATGTGCATGCATGTGTGTTTATTTTTCCATAGAATTAATATTTTATATTTTTTTATGTAATCTTGGCAGATGCATACATACTTAATCTCATGTTGCAGGACAGTATATCATCAGGATCCATACCTGGCATTTGCAGCTGACAGATACCAGGTAAGCACCATGTCAGCATGTAATAAACATGTAAGTAATCTTTTTGTGTCATAAATTCAATGATGTATGGATTTGTTCGTTGAATGACATTGGGGATGTATTCTTTCACTGTATGGAATGATTAAAGCATTTTAAAATAAAATTGGTACGCCGTATAATTCGTCCCTAAGATTTCTCCTTTATTCACATTCTTTCATTCTGATAATCATTAACATAATGAGCATAACACTAGAATATCAATCTCAAGTGTTGCATTGTGCGTAACGCCTTACCTTCGTATTCTTCCCAAATCTACATGATTAATCATCATGTATGTACATAATACTTGCATCACTTTTTGTATTACTTTCCGTCTTAACTGTCATCCTATCAATTACCCGAAATTATCAAAGATAAATGATATATGACACTAAACAAAAACCTATATTGGCCAACAATATATATTGTCTGCAGGTGGCCAAAGTTCTTATTTGTTTTATACTAATACAAAATGCTGTGAGGTTGGACTCTGGTTGTGGTAACTGTTGATTTACTAAATGAATGGCTCTATATGCAATTGGCTTCAGGGTTTTCACTGTTTCCCTCACTTTATTAAACTCGTTTCCTTGTTGTTCCATCTGCGTACATTTATTTTGCTGTGTGCATGGGATATATTTATAATCGTGAGTGGTTGTTGACACTGACTGACTCCATGTGTTGTGTGACTATTTGTTTGTTTTGAGTTTAATTTTCAATAACTTTGATTTTAGGTTGCTGCAGCTGCGTCAAAGCTACCGACTTTTTTCAATTTCCTGCTGGGAGCCTAGTGCTTTTAACATGGGCAAAGGCCTTATCAATTTACCTGGGGTACTTGACATATTTTGTTTTTATTATTTTTGTTGTGGTGTGTGTGTGTGTGCGTGCGTGCGTGCGTGCGTGCGTGCGTGTGTGTGTGCGTGTGCATGTTTGTGTTTGTATTAGTCCGGTATTGTGTATGTAGTTGCAATGGCTTTCCCATAGGTGAAGCATGGCATTTGGTGTTCTAACATGTAGCTTTTCCATAAAAACCTGTACCTCAAACTGAGGACCATCCATTTTTCATGGCGTATATGTGTGCATTTGGCTTTTTCACATAATTTGTGGCATTCCTATTATGTATTTCCTTCTATGTACTAGATATCTACTAACGTACAATCATATCCCATCATAATCATTCGATTCGACCATATTATTGCACGGTAGATTCTTGGGGGTATTTGCCTCGTAAAGGTACAGCATTAGCCTAAATCATTTGTATACTTTCCACGAAAAATCTCTTTACCCGGTTACATCTGCCTGCAGTTTGACCATAAGCTTTTAGTATGTGTTTGCTATGACACCTTCTTCCAATTTAACTGTAAGTAATGGCAAGGTTTGCAATGCATATGCATGTGGCAAACATATCAGTACGTGATGAGTCAACAATGTTGTGCTACGTGCAGGGTCTATCTGTCACGTCATTACATTTTTTCAGGAAAATACGTAACGTAACGTTAACTGCCGTATACATCATTTGGCGTACCTTGGCATATCATAGTCACGGGTAACTAGGAAACCTAATCAAGATAGTCTTTGACATTCCCAGCCATAGTATAATGTATGAAAATTGTAGGTGACCTTTATTATATCCTATTTGCGGGATAACGTGTGTTTGTGTCGCTTAATGAAGAGGTATTGTATATGTGATGTTTTTACAAAGGTTGTTGGGTGAAGTTATACTCCAGTCATACCCTAACATACACCAGTGCCACCCCTTTTTAAGAGAACACTAACTGCAATGTATTGACATGCAAACAAAGCATGTCTTATGTATGGTCTACTTACCGAAGCAGACTATGCTGTACAATTATAACCCCTGTCGTATGTCAAACAAAGTAGATAGCTTTTTTTTTTCTTCTTTCTATTTTTTTTGCAAAAAGTTTCCTATAAACCTTGTTAGGCAGTTTATTAAAAGGATACTGTCAGGGTTACCGGCAGGCACCTCTGTAAAGGGCATTGCAACATAACTGCTCATAAAATTCCATCAAACTCATATCTATTTCATAAAAGAGATGTCTCTCTACGCTCTCGATGAAAAAAAAATTGTCAATTTATATAAAATATGCGTTTGTTCTCATTTCTCAAAAACAGCAAAGAGTTGGGACCTAAACTTTTAGCCATAAGTTGTTCATAATATGAACTAAAAAACTGTCCCTGGAATTTTTTTAATGCTCTAATTTAGGGAAAAAGTTGAAAAGATGCACGAAATTTGTAATGATTTTTAAAACACAACAATTTCGTAAACAAAGAGCCATAAGGTCTTAAAATATAACATTTCATAAAAATCCAGGGACGTTTTGTCCTTAAATATGTTAGCATTAAAACGGAACAAAATATTTGGAATCGGAGTTGTGAGTTTCGAGAAATAGCTTCTGAAAATCAGCAACTTCAGCATTTCTAACAATGGAGATATTAGCACTTTTCTACATTTCACAGTTTAGAATTGACTAAGGTAAGTAGAATTGCTTCTGCCTAGTACATTACTGCAACATATCTGTGACCGTTGAACATCAACAAACTTCAGAAAAGTCCTGCTGTTATAAATAAATAGACAAAATAAGTCCATTGTCTTAAGCTCCCGTTCGCCGCCAACAAATAGCCTCTCTACGTACACAAACGCGCGTAGCAACAGCGGATCAGGGGCGCGTTTCACTAACTTCCGCTAAAGTTGTCTGCTAAGTTGTCTGTTCGCTAAATAACAGAGAACTTGGCGAATGGACAACTCATGTTTCACAAACGCTCCGCTATGCCTCCGCTATTTATCGGAGGAAAGCTGGCAGTCAGCTGGCAGATAACTACAAACGTGTTGCGCGTTTGCTAGATTACGTTCTATCCTATACACAAACAACTCCCGCACACGCCTTATCTGCATTTTCATGAGGTCTCTCGGCCACGTTTATCGATAGCCGTGTGTTTGTGTAGCAGTGCCGTTTTCTGAATGCTTCTAGTTGCATAAATTCGTAGTGACGCAAAACTTGTAAAGAGGTAGACATGGCTCTAGATCTCATTGTGCTGGGCGAGAGCTCTTCTTCAAGTTGATCCACTAGATCAGCGATGACATGCCTAGGCATGTCGTTGCTTTTAATTTGTGTTCTGTATCTAAAGTTTCATAGAATTAAAAGTGTGCCATTATTCTCGCTACACATTCGTGCTCGCAGTTATGGCGTTGACCAGGAGAGTTACACGAAATGGTGTACGTGGTAATTAGTGTATCATCGCATGCCATCGAAAGCTCTTATTTCATGGTAGTTTAATGCGAATTTTGTATTTTTATGGGTTTTATATACACCATAGAGTGCTCCGCTAAACTTAGCGGGACGTGCAGAGCTCCCGCTAAAGTTGTCCGCTAAAATGCGGTAAATAGCGAGTGGCTTTCGCGAACGGAGGTTCGTGAAACGCGTCCTCCGCTATTTAGCGGGCAACTCGGGAGATAGCGGAGGGAATAGCGAACGGACCCGTGATTCGTGAAACGCGCCCCTGAACAGCTGCTGATTCGCTTGCCGGGGTAGTACGCTTTTATGATGTCACTATCTAACGGGCGTTCTGGGGTTTGCAATAGCCAGGTAAGCTGATGCGGGGAATTTGAACGGTTTGGAAAGCTACATACATAATATCAAGAGCGTATAAAGAAGGAGAGCGTACAAGGGTAAAATGCTGAAACCATGCTGCAGTATTAAGCCCTGTCTACACTAGCAAACTTTAGTTTGCAAACTCGAGCAAACTCCGAGTTTGTTAAAGTTTGGAGAAGTTTGTGGAGCCTGTCTACACTATGGTACTGACTACACTACACTACTGGTACTGACTGTGAATTCCAATGTTCAATGTCCAATTTCGCTGTGGTGTGTGTGTGTGTGCGTGCGTGCGTGCGTGCGTGCGTGCGTGTGTGTGTGCGTGTGCATGTTTGTGTTTGTATTAGTCCGGTATTGTTGTATGTAGTTGCATGGCTTTCCCATAGGTGAAGCATTGGCATTTGGTGTTCTAACATGTAGCTTTTCCATAAAAACCTGTACCTCAAACTGAGACCATCCATTTTTCATGCGTATATGTGTGCATTTGGCTTTTCACATAATTTGTGGCATTCCTATTATGTATTTCCTTCTATGTACTAGATATCTACTAACGTACAATCATATCCCATCATAATCATTCGATTCACCATATATTGCACGGTAAGATTCTTGGGGTATTTGCCTCGTAAAGGTACACATTAGCCTAAATCATTTGTATACTTTCCACGAAAAAATCTCTTTAACCCGGTTACATCTGCCTGCAGTTTGACCATAAGCTTTTAGTATGTGTTTGCTATGACACCTTCTTCCAATTTAACTGTAAGTAATGGCAAGGTTTGCAATGCATATGCATGTGGCATACATATCAGTACGTGATGAGTCAACAAATGTTGTGCTACGTGCAGGGTCTATCTGTCACGTCATTTACATTTTTCAGGAAAATAACGTAACGTAACGTTAACTGCTGTATAATCATGTTGGCGTACCTTTGGCATATCATAGTCACGGGGTAACCTAGGAAACCTAATCAAGATAGTCTTTGACATTTCCCAGCCATAGTATAATGTATGAAAAATTGTAGGTGACCTTTATTATATCCTATTTGCGGGATAACGTTGTTTGTGTCGTAATTGAAAGGTATTGTATATATGATGTTTTTACAAAGGTTGTTGGGTGAAGTTATACTCCCAGATCATACCCTAACATACACCAGTGCCACCCCTTTTTTAAGAGAACACTAACTGCAATGTATTGACATGCAAACAAAGCATGTCTTATGTATGGTCTACTTACCGAAGCAGACTATGCTGTACAATTATAACCCCTGTCGTATGTCAAACAAAGTAGATAGCTTTTTTCTTTTCTTCTTTCTATTTTTTTTGCAAAAAGTTTCCTATAAACCTTGTTAGGCAGTTTATTAAAAGGATACTGTCAGGGTTACCGGCAGGCACCTCTGTAAAGGGCATTGCAACATAACTGCTCATAAAATTCCATCAAACTCATATCTATTTCATAAAAGAGATGTCTCTCTACGCTCTCGATGAAAAAAAAATTGTCAATTTATATAAAAATATGCGTTTGTTCTCATTTCTCAAAAACAGCAAAGAGTTGGGACCTAAACTTTTAGCCATAAGTTGTTCATAATATGAACTAAAAAACTGTCCCTGGAATTTTTTTAATGCTCTAATTTAGGGAAAAAGTTGAAAAGATGCACGAAAATTTGTAATGATTTTTAAAACACAACAATTTCGTAAACAAAGAGCCATAAGTTCTAAAATATAACATTTCATAAAAATTCCAGGGACGTTTTGTCCTTAAATATGTTAGCATTAAAACGGAACAAAAATATTTGGAATCGGAGTTGTGAGTTTCGAGAAATAGCTTCTGAAAAATCAGCAACTTCAGCATTTCTAACAATGGAGATATTAGCACTTTTCTACATTTCACAGTTTAGAATTGACTAAGGTAAGTAGAATTGCTTCTGCTAGTACTTACTGCAACATATCTGTGACCGTTTAACATCAACAAACTTCAGAAAAGTCCTGCTGTTATAAATAAATAGACAAAATAAGTCCATTGTCTTAAGCTCCCGTTCGCCGCCAACAAATAGCCTCTCTACGTACACAAACGCGCGTAGCAACAGCGGATCAGGGGCGCGTTTCACTAACTTCCGCTAAAGTTGTCTGCTAAGTTGTCTTGAGTTGCGTGGCGTGCTGTGTTGAATTTTGCCGGTTTTAGCGTGCCTTACTCCTTTTGATAGACTCCTGATAATATACATTGTGGCTTTTACATTATTATATTATATGTTAGACATATACACCCTCTGAATGAGTGTGTGTGTCTCAGAATGTATGTCTGAATGTGCATGCATGTGTGTTTATTTTTCCATAGAATAGATATTTTTTTATGTAATCTTGGCAGACGCATACATACTTAATCTCATGTTGCAGGACAATATATCATCAGGATCCATACCTGGCATTTGCAGCTGACAGATACCAGGTAAGCACCATGTCAGCATGTAATAAACATGTAAGTAATCTTTTTGTGTCATAAATTCAATGGATGTATGGATTTGTTCGTTGAATGACATTGGGGATGTATTCTTTCAACTGTATGGAATGATAAACATTTTAAAATAATTGGTACGCCGTATAATTCGTCCCTAAGATTTCTCCTTTTATTCACATTCTTTCATTCTGATAATCATTAACATAATAGAGCATAACACCTAGAATATCAATCTCAGTGTGCATTGTGCGTAAACCCTTACCTTCGTATTCTTCCCAAATCTACATGATTAATCAGTCATGTATGTACATAAATACTTGCATCACTTTTTGTATTACTTTCCGTCTTAACTGTCATCCTATCAATTACCCGAAATTATCAAAGATAAATGATATATGACACTAAACAAAAAACCTATATTGGCCAACAATAATATTGTCTGCAGGTGGCCAAAGTTCTTATTTGTTTATACTAATACAAAATGCTGTGAGGTTGACTCTGGGTTGTGGTAACTGTTGATTTACTAAATGAATGGCTCTATATGCAATGTGGCTTCAGGGGGTTTCACTGTTTCCCTCACTTAATTAACACTTCGTTTCCTTGTTGTTCCATCTGGTACATTTATTTTGCTGTGTGCATGGGATATATTTATAATCGTGAGTGGTTGTTGACACTGACTGACTCCATGTGTTGTGTGACTATTTGTTTGTTTTTGAGTTTAATTTTCAATAACTTTGATTTTAGGTTGCTGCAGCTGCGTCAAAGCTACCACTTTTTTCATTTCCTGCTGGGGAGCCTAGTGCTTTTAACATGGGCAAAGGCCTTATCAATTTACCTGGGGTACTTGACATATTTTGTTTTTATTATTTTTGTTGTGGTGTGTGTGTGTGTGCGTGCGTGCGTGCGTGCGTGCGTGCGGTGCGTGCGTGCGGGTGCGTGTGCATGTTTGTGTTTGTATTAGTCCGGTATTGTTGTATGTAGTTGCATGGCTTTCCATAGGTGAAGCATTGGCATTTGGTGTTCTAACATGTAGCTTTTCCATAAAAACCTGTACCTCAAACTGAGACCATCCATTTTTCATGCGTATATGTGTGCATTTGCTTTTCACATAATTTGTGGCATTCCTATATGTATTTCCTTCTATGTACTAGATACTACTAACGTACAATCATCCCATCATAATCATTCGATCACCATATATTGCACGGTAAGATTCTTGGGGTATTTGCCTCGTAAAGGTACACATTAGCCTAAATCATTTGTATACTTTCCACGAAAAATCTCTTTAACCCGGTTACATCTGCCTGCAGTTTGACCATAAGCTTTTAGTATGTGTTTGCTATGACACCTTCTTCAATTTAACTGTAAGTAATGGCAAGGTTGCAATGCATATGCATGTGGCATACATATCAGTACGTGATGAGTCAACAAAGTTGTGCTACGTGCAGGGTCTATCTGTCACGTCATTTACATTTTTCAGGAAAATAACGTAACGTAACGTTAACTGCTGTATAATCATGTTGGCGCTACCTTTGCATATCATAGTCACGGGTAACCTAGGAAAACCTAATCAAGATAGTCTTTGACATTCCAGCCATAGTATAATGTATGAAAATTGTAGGTGACCTTTATTATATCCTATTTGCGGGATAACGTTGTTTGTGTCGTAATTGAAAGGTATTGTATATATGATGTTTTTACAAAGGTTGTTGGTGAGTTTATACTCCCAGATCATACCCTAACATACACCAGTGCCACCCTTTTTAAGAGAACACTAACTGCAATGTATTGACATGCAAACAAAGCATGTCTTATGTATGGTCTACTTACCGAAGCAGACTATGCTGTACAATTATAACCCCTGTCGTATGTCAAACAAAGTAGATAGCTTTTTTCTTTTCTTCTTTCTATTTTTTTTGTCAAAAAGTTCCTATAAACCTTGTTAGGCAGTTTATTAAAAGGATACTGTCAGGGTTACCGGCAGCCCTCTGTAAAGGGCATTGTAACATAACTGCTCATAAAATTCATCAAACTCATATCTATTTCAAAAGAGATGTCTCTCTACGCTCTCGATGAAAAAAATTGTCAATTTATATAAAAATATGCGTTTGTTCCATTTCTCAAAAACAGCAAAGAGTTGGGACCTAAACTTTTAGCCATAAGTTGTTCATAATATGAACTAAAAAACTGTCCCTGGAATTTTTTTAATGCTCTAATTTAGGGAAAAAGTTGAAAAGATGCCACGAAATTTGTAATGATTTTTAAACACAAACAATTTCGTAAACAAAGAGCCATAAGTTCTAAAATATAACATTTCATAAAATTCCAGGGACGTTTTGTCCTTAAATATGTTAGCATTAAAACGGAACAAAAATATTTGGAATCGGAGTTGTGAGTTTCGAGAAATAGCTTCTGAAAAATCAGCAACTTCAGCATTTCTAACAATGGAGATATTAGCACTTTTCTACATTTACAGTTTAGAATTGACTAAGGTAAAGAATTGCTTCTGCTAGTACTTACTGCAACATATCTGTGACCGTTTAACATCAACAAACTTCAGAAAAGTCCTGCTGTTATAAATAAATAGACAAAATAAGTCCATTGTCTTAAGCTCCCGTTCGCCGCCAACAAATAGCTCTCTACGTACACAAACGGCGTAGCAACAGCGGATCAGGGGCGCGTTCACTAACTCGCTAAAGTTGTCTGCTAAGTTGTCTGTTCGCTAAATAACAGAGAACTTGGCGAATGGACAACTCATGTTTCACAAACGCTCCGCTATGCCTCGCCTATTTATCGGAGGAAAGCTGGCAGTCAGCTGGCAGATAACTACAAACGTGTTGCGCGTTTGCTAGATTACGTTCTATACCTATACACAAACAACTCCCGCACACGCCTTATCTGCATTTTCATGAGGTCTCTCGGCCACGTTTATCGATAGCCGTGTGTTTGTGATGCAGTGCCGTTTTCTGAATGCTTCTAGTTGCATAATTCGTAGTGACGCAAAACTTGTAAAGAGGTAGACAAGGCTCTAGATCTCATTGTGCTGGCGAGAGCTCTTCTTCAGTTGATCCACTAGATCAGCGATGACATGCCTAGGCATGTCGTTGCTTTAATTTGTGTCTGTATCTAAAGTTCATAGAATTAAAAGTGTGCCATTATTCTCGCTACACATTCGTGCTCGCAGTTATGGCGTTGACCAGGAGAGTTACACGAAATGGTGTACGTGGTAATTAGTGTATCATCGCATGCCATCGAAAGCTCTTATTTCATGGTAGTTTAATGCGAATTTTGTTTTTTATGGGTTTATATACACCATAGAGTGCTCCGCTAACTTAGCGGGACGTGCAGAGCTCCCTAAAGTTGTCGCCTAAAATGCGGTAAATAGCGGTGCTTTCGCGAACGGAGGTTCGTGAAACGCGTCCTCCGCTATTTAGCGGGCAACTCGGGAGATAGCGGAGGGAATAGCGAACGGACCCGTGATTCGTGAAACGCGCCCTGAACAGCTGCTGATTCGCTTGCCGGGTAGTACGCTTTTAGATGTCACTATCTAACCGGGCGTTCTGGGGTTTGCAATAGCCAGGTAAGCTGATGCGGGAATTTGAACGGTTTGGAAAGCTACATACATAATATCAAGAGCGTATAAAGAAGGAGAGCGTACAAGGGTAAAATGCTGAAACCATGCTGCAGTATTAAGCCCTGTCTACACTAGAAACTTTAGTTTGCAAACTCGAGCAAACTCCGAGTTTGTTAAAGTTGGAGAAGTTTGGAGCCTGTCTACACTATGGTACTGACTACACTACACTACTGGTACTGACTGTGAATTCCAATGTTAATGTCCAATGTTTCTATCTGCAGGATCACATGACTACAAACTGTCATTTGATTGCTGAGTTATTCCAACCTCAGCAACTCGAGCAAACTAGTTTGTCAAGAAGGTGCACGGCCTAACTTCTGCAAACTTCTGCAAACTAGTTTGCCGAAGTTTGTCAACTGGTCTACACTGGCAAACTTTGAAAACTTTTCTTGCCAAACTCGGAGTTGCTCGAGTTGCAAACTAAAGTTTGCTAGTGTAGACAGGGCTTTAGTCGAATTAATAAACTTTTCCCGTTTTATTTTGACGATCCTTTGCAGTATTATTGATTAGCTGTCTTACCTTGTCATATAAAACAAACCGATGTCCTACGATGCCCCTACGCTGAGATAATGAGCGGTGAAAATCTGGTATTTTCGCCGAAAACCGACTCGAGATCAGTGTGAACTGCTTCCCTCACTCGAAGTGTTATAAACTTCGGGAAACCTCGCGTGTTTCCGTCAATGATTGACAAATGGAATGAATGACGTCTGTTATTGATTGCCATAGTGATGGACCCCACCTGTGCCCACCTCACGCCCACCACGCTGGATGTATAGTAAACTCTGGTAGTATTACGTGAGTCAGCGCCACTATGGCGCTACACAGCGGCGACCGGAAGCAACACACTGGAAACACTTCGAGGAGGGACGCAGTACACACTGATCTCGAGTCGGTTTTCGCGTGAAAATACCAGATTTTCACCGCTCATTATCTCAGCGTAGGGCATCGTAGGGACATGCGGTTTGTTTTATATGACAAAGGTAAGGACAGCTAATCAATAATACTGCAAAGGATCGTCAAAATAAAACGGAAAAGTTTATTAATTCGACTAATACTGCAGCATGGTTTCAGCATTTTACCCTTGTACGCTCTCCTTCTTTATGTGCTCTTGATAATATCTACGTATGGCTATAGAGTCCCTATATACAGAGAGTTGCGCCAACTCAGGATTTGACTCCATGTTGTTTCCAAATGGTCCACACCGCTGCCGCTTAAGTACAGCGCTGTATGGATACGCTGTACAATGGTCCGTAGTAATTAATTAGACTAATCGTGCTTCAAAATTTACAGAGATTATAGCTAAGACATTGTCATTGTGTATCTAGATTTCTAGAAATTCTAGAGTTCTAGATATCTAGATTTCTAGAACTCATCGTTCGCGCCATATGATAGTTTAATTGTACACTTTCTTACCGCAATAGCCGTGCGTATATTAGCCTGTGGTGATACCGCGCGTAAACACTTGCTAATTAATTAAACACTCGCGCTTCAATAAACTCAAGAATCACAGAGATCATAGATAACACATGTGTTTATATGTATCTAGATTTCTAGAAAAGTAACTCAAATCGTTCGCGCCATATGATAGCTTAATTTACACTTTCTTAGTGTAAACACAGCAGCCAGTCATTGGAAGAATAATGACAACTGTAATTCACAAGATAAATGCGTTCCACTCTCCACTCGCTCGCAGCTGTAACATGTGTTTTGCAGTTCTAGAAATCTAGATACACATAGACACATGTCTTAGCTATAATCTCTGTAAATTTTGAGTTTATTGAAGCACGATTAGTCTAATTAATTACTACGGACCATTGTAGCAGCGTATCCATACAGGCTGTACTTAAGCGGCAGCGGTGTGGATCAATTTGGAAACAACATGCGCAGCGATCACGTGACCGATTTTTTCCGACTCGTCATGGCGCAACTCTCTGTATATAGGGACTCTACGTATGGCTGCCCATGGGCGCCATCTATCAAATAAAATGGGTACTGAAATTTCGACTGAAAATCACCTACCAACCCTGACAGTATCCTTAAAGCTAAAGGTTTCCGGAATAGATTTAGATAAGTTGCATGCTATCATTCGGTGACATGTTAATAAATTGTGGATTGTAAAAATGCAGTTTGTGGATACTGCAAATCTAGAGTTCGACATAAGTTGGTTCATCATTGTGCATCTGTGCCATTTCAGTTCATACAAGTATACTCTGCTATCTCTTCGTTTGCATGTGTACATATGCGTACAAGATGCATGCCTGTTAGTTTTTACATATCGTAAATCCGTTTCTTACGATCAATGATGTAAATCATTGATCATTCGGAGAGGCATGCTTCCAGTGGCATAGTTAGGGGGGGGGGGCAAAGGGGGCCATGCCCCCCCTGTTGATCCAAAAGTATTTTTGTTAAATTGTTTTACTAAAAAGAGAATTGTCGTAGTCAGAATGAAGGCTCAAAAAGTGCCTCAAATACCGTCTTCTGCGATCTATATTTTCAACATTTTCTGGGGGAGGACCCCCAACCCCCCCCCACCTGTTTCCGCCCCCCTCCTTGGAATCCTGGATCCACCACTGAACAGTTACATATCTTGGGAGCAGAGAACAACGAACAAAAATGTTGCCTCTTTTGCATGGCTCCCAAAACAAAGATTGCAGAGTTGAGAGGTGGGGGAGCGTAGAGTGTGGAGAGGGAGGCTGAGGAACCATAAAATATTAAGTCATCCACTATTTTGCGCAGTTCACCGTTTTTGGCCCCCCCTGTTAAAAAATCCTGGCTACGCCACTGCATGCTTCTGGGGACGTTGGCTGCTGATAATCACAATCCTCATCAAATCTGAATGATCAGTGTTCTGCACTGTTGGTTGAATTGCCATTCATGCTGTAAGAAAAGGCTGCACACCGCATGAAACATATCTCGTAGTCACCGCATGTTTGGTCAGTTTATCATCCTCTATTATAAAACAGAATATGATTGCAGTTGTAGTTAGATAGTCACATAAATGTTTCATGATCACAGTTCTTTTGAATCACATCCCCAATTTGAGTTCAAGCTCTTAGTGAGTGGGACACTTCATTAATCATGTGTATGGAAGTACTAGATTGCAGAATACTACAATACTTGCCAGTTGATGTTAACAACACCTATCTCCAGTATATGCGTACCCTGGCGTGATAAACATAATTGTCAGCGCCTAGCAGTCAAGGGCGTGGCAATGCCCACTTTCTGAAATTCTCTGTGACTAAATGCTCTTGGTTTTCCCACAGGCTGGTTATGCTAGCTACGCACATGCAGCAGCGGCGGCAGCAGCAGCAGCAGCAAGGTCTCCGTACGCAGTGGCTACTCAGCCAGCAGTCACAGGAGCCTATACACTAGGGTGAGTCTGCCTTTGCCATACAATCAGTATTCGATCTGATACTTGGCCCGAATCTGTTGAAACATGTTCGTAGACACAAATATAACTTTCCCTTTTCATATTTCAGGTATAGCACTGATCCCTATCTAGCTGGAGGAACTATAGGTCCGGTAGCCGGATATACAGTAAGTTGAGTGAATGTGCCTATTTCGTAATATGATGTCCTAACCGTTAACAGAGGAGACATCTATATTTGTAAATTGATACTCTTAGTCATTGGTTTCACATGATGTATCATCAGCGTGGGTATTTATTATATTTCTAATGGCGTGCATGGGTATTATCAATTTGCTTTAAACCTATCCACTTACAGGTTCATCCCCCATTTTTGCAATTTCTAGCAAAGCAACATGTTTGTTATACTAGTGCATACCGTTAACTTTTAGGCTGCAATGTACCGGGGAGCCTACAACCGGTTTGCACCATACTAGAACATGTAAGGAGATCCAGAAAAGGCTCTATCATGAAGTGCGCACAAGAAAACAAGGTGGAGCCAACTCGTTATCTCAACGATATCAGCCAAAAAAGGATTCAGTTGGGAACATCATCAATCATTCTGTAGCTGATATAGTCAGAAATATTTGTCGATGTTTGTCTTATCTCATCTGATTTGCTTAGTTGCGAAACAGGTGTTTTGGGTTGCATGGATGGAAAAAAGTTGTTAGCCTCTAACAACCTCCTTTACATTTTGTCACATTTGTGAACAGGATTCGGGTTTGAGTGTTGGTTTATTTTAACTTGAAGGAAGTCCAGTGGACAGATGGATCCCTTCTCTCGCTAGCTTGCCTCGTACTGTTAATTACATGTGACACAGGCTAGTAAACTAATGTTCAGAAATCTGTTCACATTGCAAGCACCACAATGAGCACTTATACATTTTGGGTGTTTTAAATATTATAGTGGATATTCTTGAATCTCCATACGCAGAATCTCCCAAAGTCTTCATCAGTATTATTTAAGTTGACTCATCGAATGTACAGGACATCTCACTAAGTGACGTGTCGGGCAGGTTTTCAGTGTACAGAGAATTTCTGAAAATTGCACTTTAAACGGGAAATGTTCTGTTGCACTGATGCAATCGAGCATGTGGACGATTTGTACAGTTGTGTTTTTTGTGGTTGCACCACAGACGAGGAGGGGCAGTCAATCGTGGTGCCACTTGCACCTGCAGGCAGAAGCCTTGCCATGCCAGCCAGTCATAACTTCAAAACGTATAGGTGTAGTTGTAATTGGTGTATACAGTGTGTACAAACTTCTTGCCAGGCCTTGTATTGAAGATGACTTGTACCTCTACGATTTTATACGCAAAACAGTGCAGCAGAATAGACTGTTAACGTGACTGTATCTGCATTGCAAATACATGCATAATATCACTATATTATGATTATAGGAACTGGCTGCATGTGTAAAAAAGGCCAGCTGTGTATATACAGGCACCAGCCAACTGGTGCTTGTTCCAGTTTTGGCATAATACCAGCAATCTGTAGATGGTGTAAGTTGGTAGGTAGATATCTAGAGTATTGTGTTAGACTGTTATATCATATATCTGTAGTCAACAGACACCCCCTCATGCACACACACACACACACACACACACACACACACACACGCACGAATGCACACGCACAGATGTGCGCATGTGTGCACACATTCAATACATCTGAATCTGTTTATAGGGATGAATGGATGGTTAATGGATGTTTGGCTGCGACAGACAACAGGGCTGCACAGAAAGAATACTCTCTCCCACTGTCCCAGTGATACAATAACTATCACAATATATTGGCATCTTTAGTTACTGCTCTCATGCGAAATATGGTCATTGCCCCGAGTCCAACAGTTTCTCATGTCGAGAGCAAACATACTAGACAAGAAGGCCCCAGTGAGACCGTAGCGCATAGAGGTAAAACCGTGTGGGGGTAGTAACAGATCAATTATCATGATGATTGATTCTGATATTGATTATTGATTAATTCTGTTTCTTGTTCATAGTTTTTGGCAAAGCTTCGTGACATGAGAAATTGATATTATTTGTAATTATACAAATAACATTTTTGACAATTGGCTCAGCTAATGCTGATATGCTTTGTAAAATACTCATTCACGACTGTTACGTCTGTTATAAGAAAAACTCAGAGAAATTAACAAATTTGAAAGCTGTGCATAAAACCTAGTATAATTAGTGCACCATTAGTTCTTTATTCCTTGTGCATGCACTGCAGCGAGCAAGGTGTAGCTATCAGTCACTGAATCTCTTGACAAAGTAAAATTATAGTCATTCTCTGTTCGTTAAACAATATTTTGTTAAAATGTCCACAAAGTGTGGGGCAGTATTTAGCTGAAATCTTGCCAAGTTCAGAAGTGCAGATGAATCAAAGTGATTCTTGTATATGTACAGAGATTTTTACACAATATTAGTTTACAAACGGGACTATTAAGTCGATCTCGCAGATTCATCGAAACCTTCTGTACTACCAAGGTTTGTGAAGTAATGATCTTACTGCGTGTGAGCGTGTTTTAAATATTCAACTTTTCTCCATCAGCCTGGATTGCAATAAGCACAATACATACTAGCGTCGCCTTAGCACTCCTATGGCTGGAGATTATTGATGAGTGACAGCAGTCCCTGAACTTAGCTTTGACAGAAGATTACCAGGTATTGTAAGAGAACGTCGAAGAAAAACTTGTATTTATTGCTGCATATTGTCTTGTTACATTTCTTTTTCATCCTAGTCAGTGCATTATAGTATAAAAGTCAAATAAAATTTGTGAATCTCATTGGTTGGTGTTCACCTGTATTTTGCTCGTATTGCTTGTAAATTGTGTAATTATACATTCACGATTAGCCATGTAATCCAGCTTCAATCATTTCTGCTTCAAGTCGATTGAAAAGAAGAGCCCAACGCTCTTCATTCGTCACGAACTGCTGGCTTTTTAAAATTGAGATTTTAATAGCTGGCTGAGAAAAGAATATATGAGCTGTGTTAGAAGTAGAGGGGGGCTGGGTATATTATATAATAATTTTTGACTTGACATTGTCTTTGAAAACATAACACTGATCCATCTTTTAATCATGCCCAGCCTGTGTGTCTGAACTGCAACTTGTGTTGCTAATGCCGATTCACTTTTCTATTATAATCTTGTCGTAAAAATTGGTTATGCAATAGCTGAATTGTTGCAATCATTGAAACAGAAAATAACACCAATATTTGGTTATTACCACAACTATATACATTCACCATAAAAATTACAGTAATAAAATGACTACTTCGGTTTTCAGGTTTAAAAATCTTATTTGTTTATGACATTTTCCACTAAATAACACCAAGACGTCTGCCACATACAGAAACTAGCATTTTAAATCTAAACAAACGAGTTGACAGAGATGTGCAGGGTAGTAATACAATTAAATTATGTACAAAGTAGTAGATGTCTGTCCTCTCTAAGCGTGTGCACTGTTAACATGTTATATGCCACGTGTTCATATGTAACAATGGCCCTTGCATAAATACCCTGTCTACTACTACACATTCATCCACCCCTTTATATTGTGCCAATTGCCTGGTGTGTACCACCTTGCCATATCTCTCTCTCTCTCTCTGGTCTCGTTGCATAGCACTTGCATGTGGTACTGTATCCACGCCCAACCTCACGTGGATCCACTGCTTAGTAGGATTCAGATTGGCTTCAGTCTTCACTAACAACAATAGTGACACTTTCCTTCTGAAACGGCAAGGTATCGAATATCAGCATCTAACGTTAAATGCAGATGCACACATTCACACATGCATACAAATGCTCATACACGCATACAAATGCTCATACACGCATATGAATGCTCATACACACATATGAATGCTCATACACACATACGAATGCTCATACACACCTCATCCTTCTCGTCCTCCAGCAATTCTGCCCTTATAATGTCCTTATCGCCACGCTTCTTCAGCTCTGTAGCGATAGTCGAGTCAAATTCCTTTGTTGCCCGGCTAACGAGGTCCTCCTCTTCCTCGTCAGCACCATGTGTTTGCTCAGGGTCACCACTTCCCACACCACTGCGCACACGCTCACGAAGTCGCAACTCCCTCTGCCGTGATTCAAGTATTTTCTCTCGCCTCGTTTCCCGCTCAAATATCTGTAAGATGGTAATCGAGCATGATATGTATGCAATTGCACGTGTCAGGGTTTTGCAGCGCTATTAATGGAGTGCTTGCGAAGTTGTCAGCACATATGTCCCGTAATCACTAAACCATTCTTGAAAAGATCCTGCCAATGGAGGTTTGTCACAGATTTACCATGCTATTTAAAATAACTATTTGAAGAAGTAGTAAAATAATTCTAACAGCTATTGTTCACGGTCACTCCTCAAGTACTATCTACTAATACTGTAATCATCAAACGTGGGCAAGCTTCAAAAGTGAAATAAACAGTGAATGCTCTTCAATAGGCATAGGGGCCGCTGCGACACTCACAGCGGTAACAAGGGACTTCTCGTTCTTCTGTAGGGTGTAGAGGCTGCGGGACAGTTCCAACAGTGTCGTGCTGCCTGTCTGTGATCCAACAGCAACAAACCTGCCATTGTCCTGCGCTCTTACCGATTCAAGTGCATCATCACTCACCTAAAGGTGGCACCACCAACCACATACAAAATGTTCAGTGTAAAATACAACAAGTGCCGCATTAGCGACAGTGCTCATCTGAGGTCTGCTGCTCTACTGTACTGGCCTTCGTTTCTGCAAAAGGTTGAAAGCCTGTTCTATCGCTAAACCGGCTACGTCATCATCAAAACTGTGTAGCATGGGTATTAACACTAAAACTAAACCCTAACAATGCATCCTACTTCATACCTGCTCGACTGTCTTATATATTCGTGTCATAATGTATCACTATAGGCCTATAGTTGCCGCGAGATGGCGCGTGCAAGTGTAATCAATAATAAAAGATGGCATCGCCCTTCGTGCATTGGTGATAAGTCAAGAAAGAGATAACCTAATTCCATTGAGTAGCTGAAATTTACAGGCTAAAATCCAAGTATATTCAGGCAGGCGACAATTTCGCTCATCTGTGAGCAGGGGCGTAGATAGCGGGGGGGGGGGAATGCATCCCCCCACTTATTGACGTGGGGGGATGGCGTGTACAATCATCCCCCCTACTTTCAGGATGAAAATGGGTGATTAAAAATTTTCTGGGAGAGGACCCGCATACCCCCCCCCCCCCGCCTGTTTCTTACCACCCTCCTCGAAAACCTACATTGGCCACTGTCGAGCGTAACAAATTGAGCACCCCCACTTCAAAAATCGTTCCGTGGTGCCTGTAGAGTACTGCTAACAAAGATTATGATTATGAATATTTGTATGCATATCAAGTCAAATTTGAGTTCATCTGACAGGGGCTTAGATAGTGGGGGGATGGGGGTATATCCCTCCCACACTTATTGAGGTGGGGTGGCTTTCATCCCCCTACTTTCAGGAAGAAAATGGGGAAAAATTTAATATTTTACAGACAATAAATACTGGATATTTATCCGCAAATCCATCATCGCTATTCATACTCTCCTAATGTAGTATTACAGAAATGGAACGTGACATACATCTACTGTAAAATAGATGTAACTCGTTCCAAGAATCACATTATTTTATTGAAACTCAGACGGTTAATTTTGGATGCATTCCCAATATATATACGATTTTTTTTTTCAAAATCCCCAAAGTCTTATCACTGCTCACAAAAGTTAAATCCTTGCTTTATTCAAAATTAGAATAGACCTTATTGAGAGTTGGGATATTGAATTTTCACGGGGATGGAATGGGAAAATTCAATCCTACTTTGGGGGTGCTGAGACCCGACCGGAAGTATATTCCCGATTTTGTACAATGGTTGAAAATATGCACTTTTTGGTTCAAATCTGGTTGTTTTTCTCATTTTTTTTTGCAGTTTTAACGTTCTCAGTAAAATATACGTTTTATTAAAATTTCAGGGGGAGATGATTCCAGTGCTGTAATTGTCAACGGGGGGGTCGGTAGCACGGGGTGGTTGCCCCCCCTAGAATTTTAATGGCAAAGGTATTTTAGCCTAGGTAAGTCTGCACTGGTAACCCCAGTGAGGACATGTAGGGGTGCCTACATAGCACAGATTTGGTAGTAAGTATTTTAATCTTTGGTGTCCCCAAAGGAAAAAATACTCAACTCAACAGTGATGTTATTGTGATGAAGATTGTTTAAAAGTGCTGCCTCATAGTGCAGGAAATTGCATCTAAGAGGAAGAGGTGTTACTTTCAACAAAATCCCCGGACCCCCCTAAACAGGAGGGGGTCAACAAATCCATGTTTAACCCTCTTCTTGAGGGTCAAAAGGTTATCAGACACTTACTCTTCGCACGTCAGTGGAAAGCACATTTCATGGTCCTTTCAATAAAGTGATAAAAATGGTAGGTCAGTGCTGAAACAAAAAAGTTTTTCACTCTGTTCGTTAGGCCATGTCCTCAGAAAATGTCTGATATCTGACCTTTCCCCCACTGCCCTTTGACCTGTGACCTCCAATTTCGCACTGGTGATGGGTTTCCTGCCCATCACACTATACAATACCTATGCTCTTAATATTCGGTGTGTATATACACCGAATATTAAGAGCATAGGTCGAGCCGATCATATTTGTGCCGCAATTCCGTATTTCCTCCTATACCTTAAGTTAAGGGGGAAATATTCCCCCTCCGTTGACACACCTTGACATTTGACCCTTGACCCCCAAATTGGTTATCCCGAGTTCTGTTCACGATCCCCCCCCCCACGTCCCGAATATCGTCACCGTACGTCGAGTGGTTAAGATTTGTGCCCAACTGTTGACGCACGCACGCACGCACGCACAATCATGCGATTCTACAAGCTGCATCTGACTACGTCAGATGAGCTAAAAATATCCGAAAAGGCCCATTGTCATATTAGCTATTCACGACACTTACAACATTGTGAAGTGAATTGTAGGCATGCACCTACCTGCAGCATTTCAAACAAAAACAAACAGAACTTTTGGCTTTTATTTGAGATGCACTGGAAATTCATTATTAATATTTGTAAACTAATTTTAAAGAACTACACTCTCCTGTATGATGCATTTTTCAATATTTCTTAGTTATTTCAATGTACCTGAATGCTGAGTGTGGGATCATTCTGTTTGAATATGCAATCCCATACATCGAGTGTGCCATTAGTACCCGTTGTGTAATAAACAGCAGGCCTTGTTGGGCTCCAGCATCCATCCGTAAAGCGATATTTCTGGTATCTGAACTCATTGAAAGTATTACATACTTCACACTCTGAAATAACTAGAGAACCTCACAAACGACAGTAACGCAGATGCTTGAAATGTGTATAGTGTTATCACTATGCATATCTTACTGGTTTGCTAAAAAAATGTTTAATAAAGCATAACTCTTGAAACATCATGAAACACATACGTCACAATATTCTCTATACCTGCTCAAATGTAGACCATACAACTGTTTCTACCTGCACCCCATTGCCTTTTTAATATCTAAACAACTGTAAACCTACCTGGACCACATCAAAGATGTGTCTCGAATATCCTCAGACCAAACCCTGACAGACCAGTCGGCAACAGTAAGGAAATTCTTAAGAAAGAATGGATTTCTCTGCAGCGCATAAATAGGCCCAAGGTGACCTGAGTATATGGCTACAATCTTGTCATTTGGTGTTTTTGCTTTGCGATTGCATGACAAGATTGTTCCCTGCTCTGTTCCGACCATGAACTTTGTTGGCTAAAAGTGAAATTGCACAAGCTCTGAGGGAATAAATATAATGACATACTTAGATAACACACAGCAGAAGCACAAAAAATTACCTTTAAAAATAAAAACTTACGACAGTAGGCTCATATTCCAGTGCTAATGCTCCTTGAGCTAAATTTATGTTTCCCTTTTTAGTTGGATCTAGGATAAGTCTTTCTGTAGGCTCACCCAACTTTCGTGTATCCCACCACAGAACCTGTTTCCAAAGTATACATACAAGGAAACTGTAACACGTATCTAACACAGTTATGATAAATTTACAGAAGAGTATTTCAGACAAATAGCTATTATTTACAATTTAACGTATACACCTAGAAGATGTTATTAGATAGATATGGAGCAATGGAGTACATAATCTTTCTTTCTGTAAGCGTTGCTTGGGTGTGGTGTAGTTGAAGCTCGATGGGTTCGGTTGCATATATCGGGTGAACAGGTTGAATTGTAAATAATAGATAAATGCAAAAACAATTGTCAGCATTGTCGTTATAATGCTCAAGAACACGACATATATAACAACATGTACAGCACCTGTCCATCAGTAGATGCTGAGAAACACTCCGTGCCAGTTTTAGACTGCAACCAGATTGCCTTCTGTACAGGATCCTTGTGGCTGTGCTCCACCTGAGATATTTCCACAGGCTGCGAACCTTTCCGGGTGTCCCAAAAACCTAAAACGACATATTTGTTGACGTATAAATAAACACACATTATCTAATAGCAAAATGTCAAGGTGACACCTTTTTAGTGCACCGAGTATAATTATATTAAGTATAGTATTGTGGGGCTTGCCTCTAAACACCAAACATCAACAAGTCATGTTGTCTGCTGATCGATCACATGGTAAAAAGACCAGGATCTTTAATGTTACTGTAAAGTGTTACATAGACGTTGATTGATTGTCGTAAATTGTAAGTAAATGATTAGGCTACAGTAGAACATAATGCTTTAAATACACTAAATTTAATATAACAGAAATCATGGACTTTACTTTGTAAATCATGGAGTCTTACTTTAGCCAACATGGGAAGCAACTGCTAAAATGTTTACAGATCTGTTACTACATCAGTAACAGTCACTTTCCATTAATATCACAACTAGAACATTACAGGCCATAAATGCTTACCAACTTGTCCATTGTAGCAGCCACCTATTAATATGTGAGAATCCTTCGGGTTATACTCGAGACACACGAGCGGTGACATAGGCTTTAGACTCAGCTCTGGTCTGTTGGGATTCTCTTTAAAAGCAATAGCACTTGTAGAAAGGAATCAACCATGTGCCGACTTTGCAGCACACATATTTCAAGGTATAGGTATTTGTAAAATATAAAATTTCTATTGTAAAAAAATGAATAATCACATAATAAAGAAGGTTTTCATCTTCTTGCACGATATAATATGGCTCATAGGGTCTATGTCCCCCAGGGTACTGCCGGAACGTACCCTGGGTACGGTCCGGTATACCGGAACGTACCCTGGTAACTATCTGATATGGTTAGGGTTATGGTTAGGGTTAGGGTTAGGGTTAGGGAGTAGGCGTAGGCAATTAGATAGTACCAGGGTACGTTCCGGTAAACTACTATTTCCTACTTTTTACTATTCCACAAAGTTCTAAAACACAATTTTGACCCCCTTAAGTCCTTAACATTATAAACAAGTCCCGCAGAGGGACAGCGCTCAACTGACGTGTACTGTAGCCAGGTATTCTTCTGATAAACTCACTGGCAACCGAATCAAGTGCGCCCTCCTGCCACCACGTTCGCGCTTAGACCATATATCTAGGATACTACTCTATACAGATCTAAAATCTATGATGCATTGATAGGCTTTGCTATACCTACTGTTAGTACAGTAATAAAGATACAGCTGTGTAACTTTAATGACTTCGCTATATTAACATGTTATTATGGATATGCGTCGAGCGCGAGCGTAATGGTGGTGGTGGGGGAGGGTGAGGAGAAGGGGAGGGTGAGGAGAGGGGGGAGGTGCGGGTGGAGGAAGCTCTAATAGCAAAGGCAGTTCAGTCCTTTGTTAACAGTCAACAAATCCATGTTTAACCCTCCTCTTGAGGGTCAAAAGGTTATCCGACACTTACTCTTC